AGCTCCCCTCCACACAATCCTGCAGTTTTTATCAAAACTTGGCATCAGACCTCATTGCCTTGATATGGTAGGACACTGCAATATCTGACCTTGATTGAGTGGCACATGACTCCAGGATGGGAATAATAAGTCTGAGACTTCCATCGCAAGAGAAACTTTGAAGCTGTGTAAAAATCCCTTCCACCTTTAGCAAGATGAGAAAAGAAGGAGGCTAGCTGAACTTGGAGGCTTTTCTTAGTATGAAGGAAATATGTCAGTAACCCTCCACAATAATATGTCAGTAACTCTTCAGAATAATAATGGTCTTCCCACATTGCTATTACAAAGGATCTGGATATAATATTGTCAGGAATTTTGATTACAACTAAAACTGAAAAAGAGCTGGTGTGAAACCTTGCAATTTACTCTGCTTAATTTATAAAAGCACCCTTGAGCCCCTTTTTTTTCAGAAATGAAGGAAAGGGAAAAGGAAATTACTTACACAGGTGGCATAAATGACTTCTGTGAAGGATGTTCTTCAAAGTAATGTTCCTCAAGTACATATATAGTCTGAGCTGTGATCCCACCAATAAGAAGGTTTCCTGGTTGATACCATTCATGAAGGAGATGAGAAGGACCACTTCTGGGGCAAGATGTGGCATCTATTTGGCACTTCATGTCAACCATCAACCACAGTATGATCCCTTCCCTCAACATTTTCTCTAGAGGAGACTTATATCTTACTGTCTAGAATCCCACCACTGCAAATGGTGAGACAATTTCCCATCTACTACAAAATCTAGGAACACTGATTCAGCAGCCAGCCAATCATTATCATATCCCAACAATGTACACAATGACTCTAATGATCTGGATCATATTCATCAAAAAAGACCATTATGAGTAACTATTGTATTACTATAGTTAACTTGATCCACAAAAACATATCAATAATACAATTAGGGATCCTTAAGACTCCAAAAGATTCTTTGAGTCTGGTTTACCAAGTATCAGACCAATGATCCAGACAATTGGGAGGTTTTTTGGATCCAAAGACAATAAGCACACCATAAATAAAGGGATTTTAAGTTCTATTATTAGCTAAAATAAACAGATTGAAAAGCATAACATAAAAATCATACATACCAAGTGAGGTAACACTCATATCTCTTATAAAATGCCAGGAGCAACTTAATACTACAACAGAGGTACTCCATTGGTGGCCAGCTTAGAAACTGGCCACCAATGGAATACCTCTGTTGTAGACAGTACCTAGTGCTAGATTCTGTGCAGAAGCTCCCCGCAAACAACATAAGCCCAGGCAAAAACTGGCACCAGGCATAATGGGTATAGCAAGAGGCTGCAAGATCTGACCTTGTCTACCAATAAAGGAGAATATTTATAGCTCAGGGTTGAAATGACGAATCCTTGGTGCTCTCTGAGTTTGGTTGTTTTCTTGCAGAAGTTTCATTACCCAAACCAGGTAACATCATTAGAAAAAAACCAAGCTCAGAGAGCACCAAGGACCCCCCACTCCCAAGCTTGACTATTCCAGGATGAGAATCAAAAGTCTGAGACCTTCACATCAACAGAAGCTTTGAAGCTATGTGAAAATCTCCCCCTCCCATCTTTAGTAAGAGTAGAAAAGAAGGAGGCTAGGTGAACCTCTAGGTTTTTGTTAATATGAAGGAGAAATCAAAATATGTCCATAACTCCTCACAATAATAATGCTCTTCTCACATTGCTACTAGTGAGGCTGAAACGTTGGCTATGCTTTGGAAACTTTGATTAGAAATAATACTGATTATAAGTTGGTGTGAAG